GTTCGTGCGCATGATCCAGCGCGACATCCTGCGCATCGTCGACATCGTGGCCCCGACAGACGGCTCCGGGGCTGCCAACATCAAGCACGTGCGCCGCGTCCTGGCCGGGCTGCAGGCCAAGGCGGTGCTCTCCGGCGACACGGTCCGGGAGATCGACCAATGTCTAAAGGAGCGCGAGACGGTGCCTACGCATCTGCTGGACCCGGAGGACGAGGAGGAGCAGCACGGCGCGGGCAGCAGCGCAACGTCCCAGGCCGGCGCCGGCGCCGGTGGCGGCGGCGGCGGTGATGGTGGCGGTGCTGGTGCTGGCGGCGGTGGAGGTGGAGGTGGAGGTGGTGGCGACAGGAGCGACGCGCCCAGCGAGTCTGCTGGCGCGCCGCCCAAGCGCAGCAGCGACGGGCACAGGCTGGACAAGCGCCAGATCGAGCAGCGCATCGAGGAGGACCGGGAGCGCAACAAGCGGCTGCGCGAGAGCATGTGGGAGGTGCCCGGCAACGACTACGACGAGTTCAACAGGATGTGGGACGCGCAGAGCGACATTGGCGAGGACGACTACGCCAATGCCGAGGAAGAGGCGGGCGAGCGGCGGCGTGCGGCGGAGGACTTTGGGTTCATCTGATACACGGCCTCTGCTCTGGCCGCGCGGGCGCGCGGGCGCGCGGGCGCGTGGACGCGTGGACGCGTGTGGCGGGGTGACTGCCACGGATATGCCGCCGGGCATGGACTTTGAGCGCACGCACAGCCTGAACAGGCGGCGCGGACTACGACGTTGTCCCGCCCGTTGCTCCGTTGCTCCGTTGCTCGCGGGTGAGCATCGGAGGCAGAGGCAGTAAGACACGACGCGCCCGGGCAGGTAGCCAGGCCTGCCAGAGGGGCTATGCGCGGCAGCTGCCTTGCATGTGGGGAGCCGGGGATTGTACAACGACTGCGTCGCATCGTTTCTGAAGAGGGCACCCACCCGCCAGCAGGCCCTCTGCAGCACCGCTCCGTCGCAGGACCAGCTCTCAACGCCCGACTCGACTCGATCAGCCGCCCTGCGCTCTTCGTTGGCGGCGTGCGTGCGCACGCGCCGCCTGGTGCGCGGGCCGTGCACGAGCACTCATGGACGGACAGGGGTTGGCTGCTCGATACACGATGCGCGCTACGCGGTCGCGCGGGCAGCCGTGTCACTGCTCGGACGGCCTGGCCTGGCCTGGCCTGTGGCCCAGCTTGCGCACGCCAGCGAGGCATTCACCCTGCCCTACCCTGCCGTACCCTCCCCTCCTCCCCTCCCGAGCAGCACATCAGCAAGCACTGCACTGCAGCGGAGCAGTCACCAGGCCTGCCCTCGCAGCTACTGTGACTGGGGCCGGCGACTTCTAGCTAGGCATGTGCAGTACCACCGCGCAGCTCATTCACATGCCCAGGCCACCTGGCAGTCCACGGTCTCGCTGCCCATGGAGCAGCGCCAGCGACACGCGCTGCGCTTCCGCGACGCCTTCGCCTTTCGCGCCGCGCCAGAGCAACACCCGCTCCCTCCGTAGGTCCGGCCGCCCTTGCTCACGCACGTCATGGTGCATCGCGGCGTGCTTCACTGAGGCGCTCGTGCGGCCGGGCACCTGATTGGCAGGCCAGGCAGCGCACGGGCCACGCCCACGCCCACGCCTGGGCTGCTGCTGCTGCTGCTGCTGCTGCTGCTGCTGCTGGCGTGGGAGTGTGCGCAGCGTCATGACCGAGCGAGAGATGACAGGGCCGGGGGCGACACGCCTCTGCGCTTTCTAGAACGCCCGCGGCACGGACCCGTGCACTGTGGCGGCGTCACCTTTCCTGGCCCACCGTCAGCGGGGCATAAGCTTGGCGCACAGCATGCTACTCTACAGTACTGCGCGTGCTCCTAAGGAGTGATTTGTCGCGCGCGCGATGGATGCAGGAGTGAAGAGAGCAAGCAAGCATTCAGAGCGTTCCCGTTTGGCCCGTGAGACCCGGTGCGTGGGCGGCGGGTTGCACGGCCGTTCGCCTGCCGAGCGAGCGCTGGACGAGCGCTGGAGGGGAGGCCGTGCTCGACTCCTCCGAGCAAAGCCAGATCTGTGTCTCCTAGCCGCCTCAATGGCAGCTCACGGCTGCTGGCCAGCCGGTGCATTGCGACGAGCCAGTTCGCGCCGCTCCCACGGTGCAGTTCCATGTAGCGGTGCAGCAGAGCCGGCAGTGCGCCTCCGTCTATGCCATGGGTGGCGGTCCCTTGCAACGCCTTGCACGCATGGTACAGTATAGTATAGTATGCGGCTTGCGATGCATGCGCGATGGCCCAGCATCTGCATACATACAGTAGCAGCACCCGCTTGTCGTCGCTCAGTAGTCAGGCGTGTTGGTTGGCGGCGGCGTCATGCCGTGACTCGACACGCCGTCTGAACATTGGGAGGGGGCAAAGACAGCAGGCCTCCGGCACCGCGAGACCCGGCGCGCTTGACTCTGAGCAATGGCGCTGCGGCTGGCGGTAGGAGACAAAGTTTATTATATTGGCTAATGTTCAAGTTATTAAAGTGTATCCCCTCCCTTTAAGCCTACTTACCATAATTGCTTTATTTATGCTATTATAAATAATTTAATTTAGAGTTAATAGCTTATTAATAAGGTTATAGCTTAATGGTAAAGCCAGCTACTCATGATAGCTCTTATAAATGTTCGAATCATTTTAACCTTAGTTTTTAATATAAATATTCTAATAGGTATAAAGTATAAACGACTTTTAATTATTTATAAACTTAGAAATATTTACAAAAATAAACTTTATAGATAGAAATCTTTAATATTTTTATAAATTAACTTTAAAATTAGATAATATTTTTTATACTATTGTTTAACCTAAGTGTTGGAATTGGTAGACAATTTATTTTTTATTATTAATTAATCTATATAAAAAATTAACAAAAAATATAGTTATTAATAGTATAAATTACTATTTTTTTTTTACCCGAGTGCTGTAATTCGGTAGCCAGATTTAACTTAAGATTAAATGACGCAAGTCGTGAACGTTCAAGTCGTTCCTCGGGTAATGATTATTTATCTAAAAAGAAAACACATCTCTAATAATCATCATACTTTAGTGTAAATTAAGCAAATCAGATGGTAGGTTTTCGATTACCCAGAATAAAGTTATTGGCTGACCCCCTGTTTCATATTCTCCCTGCGATCTTTAATTTATAGCTATTGTATGCAGAGTCTTTTGTTATTAAATGTAAATAAATATGAAATTAGAAAAACATAATTTAGATTTAAACTACTTACTATTAAAATTAACCGGGTCACAAGTTCGGTTGAGCATTCTTGAAAAAATTATTTGCTATAAGTACATAGCATATAAAAATAATTACAATATTTAATCTTAAAAATTAAATATAACTAAACCATAATGTTAAAGTAATTCCCTTCAAGAACCTTCTTTCTGTATAGTATAGAAATATGCGTGGTTGAGGAAGAAAATCCCTAAAGCTACAGTAGGATTTTATAGTAAGAAAGCAAAAATAATTTATGGCGGACTAATGGAGTTACTTATGATAAATTTAATTAACGGTATATTAGGCTTTATAAAAAAAAAATTTTGTCAACAACACACTATTCAATTTCAGATTATATACTGTAAAAAGTATGCATACAGAATCTATAAATTCTGTAAAAACTTATGAAAATGCTGATCTGGAAAAAGTTAATATCTTTGAAGATAATAACAATAAAGCAGGAGTCTATAGATGAACTAACAAATTAACAGGTAAAACATATATAGGTTCTTCAAAAAATCTCTCAGCTAGATTAAAACAATACTATACAATTTCTTTTTTAGAAACTGAATTAAAAAAAAATAAAAGTCATATTTATAGATCTTTATTAAAAAATGGATATTCAAACTTTAAACTGGAAATATTAGAATACTGTTTACCAAAAAAATCTATTATTATAGAAAGAGAACAACATTATTTAGATCTTTTACAACCAGAATATAATATATTAAAAAAAGCTGGATCTCTTTTAAACATACTGAAGCTACAAAAATTAAATTAGGTTTAATAAATAAAGGTAAAAACTTATCTAAAGATACAATAGAAAAAATGGCTATTACTAGAGTAAAAGGTAATTTTATTATTGTTGAAGAGATAAAAACTAAAAAAGTTATATCTTTTAATTCTATCAGAAAAGCAGCAGAATTTTTAGGTATACATCATAGCTATATTAGTAAACAAATTTCTTTAAATAAAATTTATAAAGGAAATGATTACCTTGTTTATAAAACATTAGATAAAAAATATATACCTGATTTTCCTGTAATTTCTTATTTTAGTAGTGTAGATAATATACAAAAAGTACGTGAAACTGAACTAGGTAAAAATTTATCAGAGGAAACTATTAATAGTTTATTTTTAAAAAAAATAAACAGTACACCTATATTAATTACAAATGATAAGACTTTTACTACTATTAATTTTCCCTCAATAACTGCCACAAGTGTTTTTTTTAATGTATCTGAACAAACTATTAAAAGATATGTTAAAAGTGGTAAGTCTTTAAAAGGTTATACTATTGCTTTTAATAATTAAGTCTATATACTATTTATAGTTTTTCAATAGTTTATTTTTATCCTATTAGTTTATTTATTTTTATATTAAATTTACATTATTTTTACAAAAATTCTTTTTTTCAAAAATTATTATTTTTTATTTTATTTTATTTTTTTTTTTATTTTTTAATTCTTGGTGGTAACACTATTTGCCTTTTATTTGCTCGTTATTTATATGAAAATATAGATATGATTGTTAAAATACTTTCTAGTATTTAATCT